TTAGTAGTTGCGTTTGAGCATGAGTAATTAGAAATAGCCGGCCCATTGACCAAAATCTTCAAGCTATCTCTCCTACATGAAGTGTTACCGCGTGACTGTAAAGACGCCATAGTAATACGCATCCACAAAGGAGGATCAAGACAAAGCCCTTCAAATTACAGGCCTATTAGTCTCACCAGCACTTTAATCAAGACAATGGAAAGAATCATCAAGAAAAGCATCATGGCATATCTGGAAAACAACAATTTTTTATCCAGAGTACAACCTGGCTTAAGAGGAAACCTCTCATGCCTGTTAAATCTTCTCACTGCAAGACAAAGCTGGGTGAAATCAAGGGACAACAGAAGACCCGTTGACGTCGTCTTCGTAGACTTCAGCAAAGCCTTCGATCAAGTTCCTCACAAAAGACTACTCATCAAGTTGGAAAGTCTTGGTATCAAAGGTAGGTTACTTAACTGGATTAGGGAATTCCTCATAGATAGGAGGCAGAGGATTAAGATCAACTTGAAACTCTCCTCCTGGACAGCAGTGCGTAGCGGAGTGCCACAAGGCACAGTACTCGTACCTCTCCTTTTTATTTTGTATATCAATGAGTTATTTCTGCTCACTGATTCCCCTATGGTTCTATACGCAGATGACTTAAAAATTTGACGAGAGCTGAAGAGCAACAGTGATACGTCCACATTGCAAGAGGACCTTAACAAATTGTCAGAGTGGTCCATAGAATGGATGCTCCCGACCAATGTAGCAAAATGTGCAACCATGAGCATCGGACAAGCAAGCATCAGCTCCTACGAACTAGAGGGAATAAAACTTCCATCAGTTCAGACTCACTTGGATTAAGGTGTCATAGTTAGCCACGATTTAAAAACTACAGCACACTGTCGCGCTGTGGCTGCAGGTAGTTTCGGATCCTTATGGGCGATTAGCAGAGTCTTTAATAGAATCACCAGAGATATGATCAACTCCTTATATACAAGACTAGAAAACTGTATCCAGGCAGCCAATCCTTGTCTTAAAGGGGACTCACATATTCTAGAAAGGGTTCAAAGGAAGGCAACACGTATGGTTCTCGGCATGACTAACTTATCATACGAGGAAAGACTAGACAGCTTAAATCTCTTCTCCCAGTCATACCCTAGGCATAGAGGAGATTTAATCACAATGTTTAAAATTTTAAATAATGACTACGGACCTGACCTATTCTCTCTTTTCCTTCCCACCAGGTCGGAACACCTTAGAGGACATAGCAGGAGAGTTCAAAAGCCAAGAAGAAATCATATTGCTGTTGAGTACTGGTTCTCACACCGAGTCATAAACTCTTGGAACCGACTCCCAGAAGAAGTGGTGTCTGCAACCTCAACTGGTTCATTCAAGAAGGGTTTGGACAACCACAGAAATTTACTAGAAAAGGATTAACATAGGCTCCAAGCCTTCTATCCTCAGCCAATAAATCTGAATCTCAAATCTGAAATATGTACACATGAATTTCAAAAACAGAATTCTCTTCTAACCAAAAAGTTACAAAATTAGATTATAAAGTTTAATAGATTCTTTGATAACTCTAATGTTTGATATTTTCTCACAGAAAAGAAAAGTGGTATTAATAATTGCCAACTAAAGTATACTAAGATTCAAATTGTTTGAGGTCATACACACACTCACGCGCGCGTAAGCACTTGAACATTGTACAAACATTCGCTAAAGAAATTGTTTAAATGTATACAAAATTTAAAGTCAAAATAGTTTGAATCTTGTGTCAACTTTTCAATTATACACACTTAATGTCAACGTTTACTTGAAAGTTTTGTTGATTAAAATTTAGATTTGTTTTTAAAAACTTAGAAATTCTTACTTACTTTATGTATTTAAGTGTGTTTAAAGTATACTGACAGAAAAAATAGAATAATAAATTACTTGGGAAATGTTAAAACATTTCACAGTTATCTAATCGTAAATATATCTTCTTCTGCCCCTAAGGTTATGAATTTGTGAAATATTAAGATACTTTTGTTAATTTATCAGTACCTGTTGCGTTTTCTTATTGTTTAGAATTTGAAGTATGAGAGGGGTTGATAGCCTCACACCCGACCTTCCTTCTTTTCTTGGTTTGACTATCGGTTATTGAATTAGGCAAGGTTTCAGAGTACGTCTGTCGGGAATGGAATTCGGATCTATGGTATGTTTGGCTAGTAATCTATGCTACTGAACTACTGACTCTGATTAAGGAGTATAGGACAACTGTTTCTTCCTACTGCTTGGGCCTTACCAGCAGTACTCAACCACCGTGGTTCGAACTCATCACCTTCCAGTCACAAGTCAATTTCGTAGACCATTCAGTGACTAGAATTCGCTCCAAGGAATTTCAGTTTCTGCCAATTGATAATTTTAGGACGACCACCAGCCAATGTCCTCAACGAATATTTGCCTTCACAGGATAACTTGACTAAGGCTGAGGCTTTATCCAAGCACTTTAGTCAAGTATTCTCTGATAATATTGATACCAGCTTTGTAACTTTTCCAGAAGGTAACTTGAAAATGGCACCCTTTTACTTTGGAAAGGATACTGTTCTAAAGTGGCTTCTAAGGCTCAATCCTGGTAAGTCCAGTGGCCCTGATGAACTCCACCCACGTATATTAACAGCATTGGCTGAAAACGTAGCCGAGCCATTGTCGGTAATCTTCAGTATGTCTCTGGACCAGTCTAAATGTCCAAGAGACTGGAAAGATGCCATCATTAGTCCGGTCTTCAAAACCGGATCTAGAAACTTAGTTCAGAACTATCGTCCTGTTAGTTTGACCAGTATTGTTGTTAAACTACTAGAAAGAATAATTCATGATGCTATCATTCAGTTCATTGAAGGGAACAAACTTTTCGCTGTGGAACAGCATGGTTTTAGAGCAGGTCATTCTTGCTTGACCAACCTTCTTTTGGCCAGAGAAAGTTGGGCAAGCTCAGCTGATGCTAATATACCGGTGGATGCCATATTCATCGACCTTAGCAAGGCGTTTGACGGGGTTTCTCATTCAGGTCTTCTAGTAAAGTTAGGTAGTATGGGAATCAATAAAGTGGTTGCCGACTGGATTCAAGACTTTCTAAAGGACAGAAGACAAAGAGTACGAGTTAACGGGGTTTTATCAACATGGGAATCGGTTAAGAGTGGCGTTCCTCAGGGTACAATTCTAGGCCCACTTCTTTTCCTGATTTATGTTAATGAGATTCCATCGGTAGTTAAGTCATCCTGCTTACTGTTTGCTGATGACATCAAGATATGGAGGGCTTTATACGATGACAGTTATCAACTTGCTTTGCAGGAAGATTTAAACTTGTTAAGTGATTGGTGTAAGCACTGGGCCTTGGAGATTAACTTAAGCAAGAGTGTAGTTATGCATGTATCTCATAGTCACGTGCACAATTACTCAATGAATGGCATTACTCTCCCAGTGGTCAATGAGTACAAGGATTTGGGAGTGGTTGTGCAGCATGACTTGAAAACAGCAACAAACTGTAGAGCTGCAGCCACTAAGGTTTTTCGAATATTACGGGCCATACGCAAGGCTTTTGCGAATTTTGAAGCTGAAATATTTCGTATATTATATTCGACTTATATCAGACCTCATTTGGAATATGGGATCCAGGCAGCGAGCCCGTGTTTCAAATACGAAATAGACTTATTAGAAAGGGTGCAAAGAGTAGGAACTAAGCTAATAAAGGGTTTCTCAACCCTCTCATATGAGGAGAGGTTAAGTCGACTGGGTTTATTTTCACTGTCATACAGACGACTTAGGGGTGACCTAATACTAGCATACCGTATCCTAAGAAATGATTTTGGAGCTAATTTATCTAATTTATTTCTTCCTTCTAGCACCAACCAATTGCGAGGACATCACCTCAAGGTTCAAAAACCACGGTCGAATCGTCTGCGTCTGGAGATCCGTTTTTCACATCGAATTGTGAACCACTGGAACTCCCTACCGGAACACGTCGTATCAGCGCCATCCGTTGATTCATTCAAGGCGAGATTGGACCTTCTGTGTGTAACAAATCGAAAGGATTAACACAGGCATACAGCCTACTATCCTAAATAAATTGTAAACTGTAAACTGTAACCTTGTGCAACCCTCTTCTTACGACGACTCTTCACCAGGACTCCAGTTAACCCTGTCATGTACCCAGTCTTCAGCGAAGATCAGATTAATTTTCATGAGTTAATTAGGTTTGAACCCCGGTGCTGTTGAAGAACCCCAAGCACTAGGATGAGACAGCTAGCTGTCCAGTACTCCCTGCAAGGTTTCCAATGGTTCTGTAACTGACACCAATCAGTGATCAAACGTGACAAATTCAAGTCCCTACAGACTAACTCTTGAAAAATAACTTGACTTAATTGAAAATCAATAGTAAACCGAATAATATAAGGATTATATTGCTAAAACGCATCACTGAAATGATACAAATAGTTTTTTCCAAGGCATTTCTACGTTAGATTGATTACTTCAGATAACCGAAAGTCTTGATCTGCTATGGACTTAACAGAAATCTTTAGTGAAGTATTGTAGGCTATTAAAAGATAGTGACCAAGACAGTAACGTATTGGCGTTGAAATGATGGTCACACTGAGTTCAAGTCATGGCGGAAGCACTATTACTCAATGGGATACAGGTAGGTCGAATTCATGCGTCTCAAATAGGCCGATTAGACAGCTAACTGCCATCACTACAAATAATCTATTATTGCTCATTGTTAGAGTAAATAATTTGACAGGTTTCAACTGATTTGAACCTCGAAATTGCGTCTAACCGAATATACTACTGAAAAGAGCCTGATGGAAACCAGTAAAACCTGGCCATCTCATGTTTAAATCACTTCGATCTGAATGACTAACAAGAACTTCTGCCCATCGTAAAAAAATTCCAACTACTCACATTGGTTAATCAGTAGTGTATATTACCAATAAACTGCTTCTCCACTAGACATATTAGAGAGAAAAACACTGACTTACCTTACTCATAGCAAACAAGTTTTCCAGTTGATAGTAAAATGCGTACAGTATGTTAGCGGGTATTGGTTGGCTGTAGAATAATATTCCACATTTGGCTAACTAAAATGCATTAGAGGAAAATATTAGAAGAGAGAGAGAGAGAAGGATAAAATAAAAGAAATAAAACCAGTTCAAATAGATTTCTACTCTTGATGTCAGATGGTTGGAGACAATCGGCCACAGGAAGCCCTATCTGACCTAAGTTTCGTGCTAGTTGGCACTCACCAGTCAGAAAGGCGTACCTGTAACCTTGAAGGAACTCATGTCCCTCCTGAGATTCGAACCCACATCACCCAGTGAGTGTTGCAGTCAGAGACGTTACCAATGAGCTAGTTACTAGTGTCCAGTGAAAGATTTCTACTGTTTTTGATGTGCTGGCTTACTCTGAGCTGGGTGACTTAACTGCGAAACTTTCATTCCATCCCTTTAAGACAATATTTTCACAGCAAGCATCAATGTGAGGTGACTGGTTGTTAACTTGCATCAGTATTGATCTTTTTTGTGTGTGGGGGGGGGGTTCATGTGGCTTATTCTTTACTACTTGATAAGTGTGACCTGATTTGATTCGTCTGAGTACCAGGCTGTTAGGAATTCTCTGGCCTTCTTCAGTATTTCCACTGATTAAAATTTCTACACATAGTTATAGCTGTCTATATGTATATTGAAATGTAAGAATATATGTTGTGTCTTGGACTGGGAAGCGAAGAGGGTGCCCCACTTCGACCATTCAATATGTTATTTATCACAATTCACGCAATTTACAGTGTAGGTGGCGTTGATATTTTGTTTTCTTTTACTGTTGGGTCCTTGGTCTGCATAGCATTGAATTAGATCATTTGTGTGCGATATCTATTCCGAATGGCTTTAGTATTCTAGCTGTTATTTCAAAAACATTCTTTACATGTATTGTAGGATGAATTTCCTTGTAAATTTTCTGAAGGCGGTGGTCTGATTCGAGTTTAGATTTTTTCTATGAAATTGTAGCGGGTATCCTTTTTTCTTGCCGACAGTTAATAAATATATTTCTAAATGATTAGAAATGCCTATTAAAATTTTTCAAAAGTATAGTTACTGAACATGGAATATTCTTTTCGATAACTTCCTCATCGTCAGGTTCTACAGTTATATATTTAAATTAATTTTAAATTTTGATTACAGCTTGATGCCACACCGTATTTTCAGTACAAGTATGGCATTTTCAGCATGGATATCGGTAGCCCAAATTTTGCAGGCCGACCATAGATATCGGTTGTGCGTCGGCAGGGGATCGAACCCCGGACCATGTGCATGGTCGGCGAGAGTCCTAACCACTGTGCCACCGACCCACATATACACACAATAATAGTGAATGAATTAGTGCTCTTAGAGGAAAAGCAAGACAAGCTTTCACTACTCTCAAGTCTGTGTGGAGGTCAACAGCACTCAGCACCAAAAATAAGATCCGGATTTTCAACTCCAATTAGTGCTCTTAACAACATTAATGTTTAACCTAGTGCAATAATTACTAATAAGTTAAGAAAATCTATTCGCTGGTAAAGTACAATTCATGTTTTCTAAACGACCGATGGTGATTCCTCAATTGAAAGATGAAGTACCTAGACTAGCCACTTCTAATGATCTGCCAATTCAACTGCACTTGTGGTGGAGCGAGTTATATTGGCCGTAGCTCTAGGAACTTGATTTTTCGTGCTCACTCGGGAACGTCTACCAGTATGGCTAAGTAAAGTTGTAGTAAAAACTGTCATCAACAGTTTGATATTAGACCACCAGCATTGAAGAATCCTTCTCTATCATCTACCGGGTACCAAATAAGTTGCCAAAAACATCGAGGTACCACATACTCCAAATCGCAGAGGCTATAGCGATTCACCTTAAGCAACCGGTGCTCTGTGTGCAGAAGAAGCACGTCCAACCACTACTACTGCCCTGGCCGGCCTTCACTGGAGACTATAAATTTATGAATTTGTATTATTATTTTCCCTAATTTTTCCGATATTCACTGTATTGTTATGTTGATGCTATCGAACTGTAATCCATTAATATTATTATTGAAAAGATGTTATTTAAATAATATTAATGTTGTTAATAACACTAATTCATTCACTATTATTATGTATATATAACTGTAGAACCTGACGATGAGGAAGTTATCGAAAAGAATATTCTTTTTTCAGTAACCATTCTTTTGAAATATATTTCTCTTCTATTGTCCTCAGGACTGGAATGCTGTAGTGTGTTTTAACACTTTTGAATAATGTTTGTATACAGTAGCTTCTGTGCACTGTTGCATTTTTTGCTGTTTTAATTGAGTATTGGATCTGTGTAGGTTGATATCCTGTATATCCGTGTTTGTTCTCTCGACAGAATCATCTAAGAGACGAATTTTGTTATCCGATTCTTCTTCTCTTGTGAATTTGATGTCTTCAGACACGTTGCTGATTAATGTGTCAGTGTATTCCAAATCATTCCTTTTAATCATAACAAATGTGTCATCAAAATGGTATATTCAGGCTTTCGGTTTCATTATCGGTAGAGCTATCGTCTCTAGTCTTCACATAAATGATCTCAACAATTAGTTCCTGATAAGTACGAGTTCATCGGTATCCTTCTTTATCTATTCGTATATCTGGCTACTGAAATGAAAATATGCAATAAGAAATAACCCTCCATGAGTTCTATCCAGCTTGTAAGTTGTGTTTATATGTTTCTATCACTATAGAGTAATTGTTGTGGATTTGTCAAAAGTCTAAAGCTGGTAAAGTGAACCTGTGTGCCTTTTTAGTGTCAAAATGAACATGTTACGGCAGTCAGGCGGAGATATTGGGGAATTCTCAGCTTCTGGCAATACAGATATCATCACATTTTTCTAGTATAGTCATGAATGATAGTGATAAGTGATATACTCGAAACTTTATCAAAACATTTCTACACTAGAATCAAACGATCAGCTCAAAAAACAGACTTGGAAACCAAAAGGAAATCCATCTTCCCCAGTATGTAGAATGATTCTAAGATAACTGCTAGAATACTGAAACTATACTGAACCTATATCACACACAATCCAAAATTACCACTTCATTTAATACAATTTAAACCATACCATATAGTCCCTTTTGACTTCGAATCTAGGAAAATAAACTAGCCATCAAAAGGTACTATATGTATCCCTTCATATCAATACACGTAGACAACTATGAAGGCAGATGTGAAAGTGAGAGAATGAAGATTTTAAACTGTGAAAAAGAACTAAAAGTGACAGAGAAATATTAGAAAGCTGATTCTTCCTAGCTTCGAACTATTCAGCAGTACCCACCCACCAGGGTTCGAGACTACGACCTCGCGGTTACAAGTCGAGCTCGTAGACAATTCAGCCACTGTGATCCGATTCAGTGGCCAATCCATGAATTCCAACTTCAACCAATTCGCGATTTCATTGTGATCACCAGTCAGTGTCATCAGCGAGTATATGCCCTCACACTCTACCCCATTAGTCAGCACCACTGGTCACAACTTCTCACTTAATCTTCAGTCAACTTTGTCCTGCGGTCAGTCCCTAGGGAGCATCATGTCAATTTTCAAAAGTTGTTTCGTAGGGATTTCATTTTATTTAGAGAACCATCGGAAACCAAGGGGTCCCAGAGGGTCGGGTGTGAGGAAGAATATTCACCGATGACATTGGTTGGTATTAACGCTAAAATCACGAACTGGTAGAGGTTAGAATTCATGGGTTCATCATAAGATCAGGTCCAAGTAGTTGAATGGTCTACAAGCTTCCTTTGTAACCGAAAGGTCCTTGGTTCGATCCCAACTGCTGGATACTGCTGAAGAGTCCCAAGCACTTGGATAAGACACCAAGTTATCCAGTGCTTCATGATAGTTTCCAGTGGTTCTCTAAATAACATCAGTCAGTGATCAAACTTGAGACGAATCAAATACCTACAAACTAACTCATGAAAACTCCTAAAATCCTGGCTCTCAGATCAATCATCGTTAAGCAAACATGTTGGCTTGGTTCAAATTCATCGATCGCTAAATAGCAATAGGTTATATGGAAAAAGGGTCAAATATCAATTCAACAAGACGATCAATACTAATACAAATGAACATGAAGGCAAAAGTTTTTGAAGACAACCAATCACAGTCAGTTGTATCATTCGTGGATGAATTTTACTAAACTCATTTCACATTTAAGTTAGTTAGCATTGAAGATGCTGTCCAGCAGGACATAACGGGACCTTCCCTATAATATCGCCCTACTCTAACAACTCAAGCACATCAGGAGTAGTCACTTGAGGTAGAGATATCCTTTATTATTTCAAGAGATCTGCCTCAACTAATGGAAATCTGGGCAGCGGTCTGGTTTACATTATCGTATATAATGACCTTCTCTTACCCATTAAATCATTAAGCCTCGTATGTGTATAATATTCTGTACACAGACTTCATCGGAGTCTATATTTTTCAGTCTGATTCTATGCCTTTCCAAAATCCTTTAGTTTGAAGCTTTGATTAACACTGGTTGACAAAGAACATGATGAGAAGATCTTTAAAAACGCCGTATATATAGTGTTTCTTTTAACAGATCTAAAACCATAACTTATAGGTACCTTCACTACTTCGAAATCAGTGTGGAATTCTACCGCGAACAGCAAAAACAGAACAACATACAAATTTTCGACACCGATGAATGACAAGTCACGGCTTTTATATGATTCAGGGTACTGGGACTGCTGTCAGGAAAAGCCTATTTCCAACAGCCAGCTGCGGACTTTTATCAGCTGACACTTTCTCTCCGTACTAAAGATGAGATAGTCGGCCAGAATGGATAAGCAACAAGGAAATCTGTCAAGCAACGAACCAACAAGAACCTCTCGTCTAACAAATATGGAGAAGGAAATGGAAATAGGTTGGACATGCACTATGACAAGACAACTGAGTGATATCACAGACCAGGAAGACCCTTCAGTGGAATCCAAATGAGAAACGATGAGCTGGGTATGTAGTATCCAACTGGGTGACATGGAGGAGATCGTGTGTAGTAATAATAATAATCTGCTTTA